CAGTGCTCTTAAAATATGACAAGAGCTAATCTATCAGCATGGGGCAGAGCAGCTCGCAGTACTGGCAAAACATTCAGCAGCTACTCGGGGTCCACAGCATGAGGGCTGCTGTAACACTGGTCATGCAAAAGCCTGGGTTGGTGCATGGGTGTGCGTGGGATCAGGCGGATCTGCTGGGGTGCTCCTCACCCATGTGCCACCCCTGCCTCAGTGACAGCATGCAATCACAGCTGGTTTGCAGACCCAAACTTTGCTCTGGGGCATGGGAAGCTGCCCGGCAGGGCTCATCTCCACCCCTGTGCTGGCTAGGACAGCTTCAGAGAGTTGTTAACAAGCACTTGGTGGGAATGATTAAAATACCTGCTGTGCTGTTAAATGGTTTGGAGGCAGCTGTGTGAGAGAGATGGCTGCTGTCTTTGGAGGAGTCCTAAGGAAAGAGAAGAGAAGAAGGTTGATATGCAGTGGGAAACTGAGATGCTCCATCTGGCAGGAGGAGTGGTGATGTTGGCGGCTCCTGCGGGGATATGGGTTATCCCTGCCCTCTGGGAGCAGAGCAGAGGGGTGTGAAGGACAAGAGGAGGTCCTGGAGGAAGGCAGAGTCTTTCCACGGGGCTTTGGGCTCTGTGTGAAATGCAGCTCTCTGCAGAGCTTGCCTCTATGGGGAAGGCACAGAGACATGGGGTGGGGGAATGGGGCAGCACCACCTCACTGGGGCCAGCGAATGGGCACGACTGCACGGGGCACCTCACCTGAGCACGCACAGCCAGCGTCTCGGGAGGACGAGCTGTCTGTGCCAAAGTTATCATTTCCCCAAGATATCAATTAAATACCGAAACAAAAACAGTTTCCGCATGAGCAATTAACAAAGAGCTTCCTGCAGTCTCACAGCGGCCGGCTCCTCACGTTCCTTCCACGCTGTCGCTACCCTCGGCTGCCTCCCAGTTTTGATGGCAGTAGCACGAAGCCCACTGCTGAGGGGCTCAGTGCAGTGTGGGGAGTTATCAAATGCCCTGTTAGTGTCAGGGCTGCTGGAGCGTGGAGCTGGGAAGCGATAAATCAACTCTTCTTGTGAGAAAATGGGTTTCTAGGCTGAGGATGGAGGGAAAACAGGATTCCCCATGAGTTAGTTTCAGATTGAATTAACCAATTGGTTGGCCCTATATAGTTGTATGTATATATCTTCGCCACAGAGGACCTGGGCAATTCTAATGTGAGGTCACTGTATAGTGATTTTTCTTTCCTCTGTTTCTTTTTTTGTTCCAGCCAATGATTCAAAAAATCCCAGCTTTGCCATAAATACCTCCAGGGCAAGGAACAGCAGGATTTTGAGGGGAAGCCAGGAAAAAAGAAGATTGGTGGGACAGGGCGCAGGGGGCAAGTGGGGCAGGTGGGTGCAATGTGAGGAGTGGGAGCTGCCCGCTGCCCCTGGCCTTTACCCATGGCAGGACAGATCTCTCCAGCTGAAGTTCAGCAAATTGGACCTCCTCTCCCCCCCCCCCCCCTCCCTCTGTTGTAGGATGCTATTCGTCTAAGGATGCTATTCGTCTAAAGATTTCCTTTAATTTAGAGCTGTGTAGAGTTTGAAAAGCTCTTCAAGTTCACTTGGGCTGATGAATTGGTAATTGAGTGTACCTGGATGTCGGTGCCATTGGTGCCTCTCTCTGCATTTGTATCAGTCTGTGTTTGTTTTCCAGAGCTGTAAATCACTCGGAGCTTGGAGAGGCTTTTATCAAATCCTGCTAGGAGCCAGTCGCTTTCCCTTTCACAAACACATTGCTAATGCCACGTGGAACCCACTGGCTTTGCTGCTCATTTAAAAACAATGAGGATGTTAAATGAAAAAAAAATTCCTTAGCAACAGGGGGAAGGAGGAAGAACAGAATTGCTCTGATCTCTTCGGAGCTTGCTTCTTCAGTCTAATATCTGTCCCATTGATCTCCTAATATGCTCTGCTTTCAAAGCCTGATTTATTGCCCTCTGCTCTCTTATCTCCCTGCATGTCTCAGACCATGGGAGCATACGTTGTTTTCAGCTTTGCTGGCAACTGGGTTGGGTTGTCCCCTTCTCAGCTGCCAACCATTGACCTTCCCTCTGCAGCACCTGGCCCAGCCAGGGTAGGCACAGAGAATTAAACGCGCTGTTTAAGGGAGCCCTCCAGGTTTTTCAGCTTAAGTTCTCCACATTCTCCAACATGTCATGGAACCATTAAGGTTGGAAGAGAACACTAAGATCACCAATTCCAACCCCAGCCCTTTCCCACCATAACCACCAAGCCACACATCCCTCAGTGCCACAACTCCACAGCTCTGGAACACCTCCATGATGGTGACTCCCTGGGCAGCAGTGCCAGTGCTGCACCACTCTTTCTGAGAAATAATTTTTCTTCATATCCAACCTGACTCTCCCCTGGAGCAACTTAAAGCCATTGCTTCTCATCCCTGGTGTCCATTGCTCCACTGGCCTTAGGAGTTACCTGACCCACTCCATCAGCTGTAGAACCACATAACCCCAGGGTTGTATGACAGAAATAACAGTCCTCATTGGTAGTTCTTGGAGCCTTTTGGGTCCTTCATCCAACTGGGAGGTGAAACAGCACCACGTGGCCTGCACAGCCCACAAGCACAGCCTACGTTTTGAATGTAGATTGTTTGCAATGAGCTGTTACAGTGCTGTTTGCTCAGGGGAAAAATGGCAAGTTATTTCCATTAACAAATAACTGTGAGAACTTTGCAGTGTGTGTGTGAACATTTCATAAGCATAAAATGAGGTGAAGTTTGCCAAAGAGATTATTAATTATGAATTGTTCATTCAGCTCTAATTGCTTGGGTCTAGCTGTTGTTAGAAGGGCTGTGTGATGCCTTCGGAGTGTATTGGTAAGGTCAGATAAGTGTTGGTAGAAATGACTTCATGCTAAGTCAAGTTTTTTGCTTGGGTGTAATGGGAATCTACCTGCTTAGCTTTGCAAGAGAGTAAACGAAGCTGCCTGAGCTCTTCTTGTCACTGTGCAGCCCAGAGAGCTAATGGAGAGTGAGCTGTGCTTTATTGACTCCCACTTTCTTTGTAGAAGAAATAATTAAATTCACCTGCAGAATCCCCATCTTCTCATGCATAGCAGTGTGCAACTTCCCTGCAAACTAGATTAGAGATTACTCATGCCAGAATCACTGATGAGAAAGCACAAGGCAGGAGGGATCTGGCTTGGCTTCCAGGTCCCAGGTGGTATTTGCAGGATTTATGCATAGGAAAAGCATCACTGTTTTCCTTTTGGCCAGCCAAACTTTGTCTGGAAACCCAAAGGAAGAAGCAACAGGGAAACCCGCTGTCTGTCTTTGAACAGCATTTTCTGAAACGAAGCTGCACTTTAAAGCCTCACCAGCGTGGCTCTCACTTTACAGAATAGGTTCCCATCTCAAAAGTACGGGTTATTTGTTCTTACCGTAATATTCTCATCTGACATTCACTCTCCTGGAAACCACCAGCCCAACGTTCACCTACCTGCATTCAATTACCTGCCATTGTTCTTGTTCTGCTGTCCTCTCTCCAATTTAGAGATTATATTTCATAACTGACCTCCAACTACCTATTGCCTCCCCGTGACACTTCTCACCCTTTGTCTACCTGATTGATTAGTCCATTATGTTTTCCATTCTCCAGATGACTTACAGATTGCCCGGTATCTGTCACAGGCTTACTTTTCTTCTGCAATATTTATTCTTGGAGTTTTGCAACACCCTCCAGCTGCCATTCTCTCTTTGTTTGCTGTCCTCCACCTGCCTCTCTGGCTAATGCCTAGTTTGGAAAGAGAAGAAACCCATAGCAAGAAAGTCTCCTATTTGCTGTGAGTTCACACGTGCTGCTTAAAAACCACGCTTAAGACACGGCCATTTTTTCAGCAGGGCTCTTTATTTTCTCGGCATTATTTGGGGGTAATAAAATGTCACCAGATCAGATGGCAGTCGGTAGCACAGCTTGGGAGGCAGCTTTCTCCAGAAAACGTTCTCACCTGCACAAGTCAATGAAACAGCAACCAAGCAGGGAGCAAGGCTGGGTGTAAAGATGTGTGCATGTAGCAGGGCTCTGCCTCTGCTGGGGGACAGGGCTGGCAGTGTCCCAGATCCATCCATCTCCCTGAGCATGGCAGGGGTTGTCCAGCTCTGCTGCCACTCTTGGCTCATCCCAGCTCTGCCCATCACTCTGATGTTTAATTAACTGCCCTGCCCCCCTGGATCTCACGCTGAGTTTGGATTGTCTTTCTGAAATACTTCTCAGGTCACGTCTGAATGAGGATAGCAGGAGGGATAATAAAGTGCTTGTTGCTAATGTCACTCTTATTGTTATCGTGTTGATGATAATGAAACAAGGCACTGGGTGTTGTGCAGATGAGTCCTGTTGTGGTCAGTGTCACTTCTTGCTGCGCTGGTGGTCTCACATCAGAGCAAGCTGGAGGCTGACAGCAGTGATGAGGACAGGGAGCCCTGGCCAGCCAGGCACCCAGATCCAAGAACAACAAGGGGGTGAGAAGTCAGCAGTGAGGACAATAAAATGGCAATTAAGAATTAAAAGCACATCTGATTCCCATGTGAAAAGATGATTAAGCTTATTGAAATCTGCCCATGTAGCGTGGCTGGTGCTGGTGGTGGCTCTGCACTCCTCGAGGAGTTCTGTGCTGATATCCCTGCTGGTATCTGCCCCGTGCATGCCCAGAGCTATCTGTCTTCTGCATCCCAGTCAGTCCCCATTTGTCCCATTTCTTTAACTTCAGTCCTCCCAACATTTCTTACAGCCCCTCCTCTGCTAACAGATGGATTCCCTTTGCACTGTGATGTTGAGCAGCTGCTCTCAGTGCTGGGACCTTTCCATGGTCCTCTTCCCATACCCATCTGCTCCCTGCACTGCAGCAACTGGAGCAGCCATGCTGTCCCTGGGACAGCTTCATGTTACTCAACACTTTATACCCCCAATGAAATTTCCCCCTAACGTTTTCATTTCTGCCCTTGCAGTTCCAACACCAGTGCTGACCGTCCTGCAGGACCCCCAATGCTGTGCCCACTGTGCCCCGCAGCCCCCGCAGACACCAACTAGCAGACCTTCATGACTTCAGCAGGAGCCAGCAGCAACACACAGGCACAAAGGTAGGGAGCAACCTTCATACTTGCATGTCCAGAGTGAGAGAAGTAGACTGATGTGAGACAGCTGGGCATGGGGAAGAGGGATGGTGAGCTGGGTGCTGAGCATGGACCTTCCTGGAGGAACTACGAGTGAGCTGCAGCTTCCACACTGCTGAGGGTGTGCAAGCAGTGCAAGTTTATTATGGTTTTATATATATATTAGCTTGAATTCACATTCTCCTGTTCAGATTTAAGGGATGTAGAAAAAACACATTTTTTTTCCCCTGAATGAGAAGCTCAATGTGTTCCTCCATTCCAACTTCCACAAAATGGTTTTTTACAAAGCAGAAAAAAAGAAGAACGTCGGGTTCACCTTGGTGCTGTAATTTAGTTTTCTAAGCCCAGAGTTTGCCATGTGCTTCCTGTTGAAATGAGTGGCTGTGCTGGGCGCACTGAGAAGTATTCTTCCTCTTTCTCATCTCCACCTCAGCATTATGAAAAGGGTTTTCATCAGTTCATCGAGAGAAGGAGATAACTTTTGTATAAAAGTGCACAGTCGACAGGGTTGAGTTTTTGGATAGTGTATAATTTTTTTTTTTTTTTGCACTGTTATTATTTAAAATATGCTTTTTAAGAGGACAAAAGGGAACAGTTTAATGGAAACAAATTTTGACAGCAGAATGTGCAGCTGGATAAAAAAGATTATTCCTGTTATTGCTTGGGTAGACAAGTGAATTTGGAATTTGAGTACAAAAGGTGTTAAAAAGTGTTCTTAAACTTTTCTTCGGTGAGCTGTTGAGATTGAAAAGAATAATTTCAGGAGAAAAACTTTTCTCAGAGCCTCCATTTCCAGCATTGTCGAATCTATAGCAGTGGCCCTTTTCCCACAGCTATTATCATGTTTTCACCTTTTCTTCTTTTACCTCGTTTATCCTCTTTTGAAGAGAATGCAGTGCTGGTGAAAGGCGTGCTGGTCCATGGGTGGAATGGTAGTGCTGGGTGTATGGGCACTGCTGGAGGCCTTATGGGATGGAGAGGGAGCAGTCGTTGCTGGGAGGCAGGGACTGATGAGCAGCTTGGCTTTGGGGCTCATTGTTTGAAAGCACCTGCAAGTCTACAGCTCCCAAGGCTTGCTTTCAAAGTGACTGTTGGCCAATGAGGATGCAAAGATAAGCAGAGCATAGGCACTCAGGTCCCTTGGGTGGACACAGAAATGCCAGCAATGCAGGCAGATGGACAGCAGTGAGTGTCCTGCTGGAGCCAGACCCAGAGCCAGGCAACAAATTACAAATATGAATGCCAGAACAGCTTGGGACACAAAAGATAAAAGACAGTTGTGTTATTTGAACTGATAAGCCCTATGTCTTGAAGATGCCTGCATCACAGGCTCCTGCTGGGTCTTCACAATTGAGTGTTACACCTGCACCAAATTACCAAAGATGTAAAATGGGACTTGCAGAGAAAGCACCGTGCCTGCCAGAAAGCAGCAGAATAAGAGTTTGAGAACACTTGTGCTGAATAATTTGGGATTGGGCTCTGGGGACACTGAGATGCTGCTCCTGCAGGGCAGTGACTGCAGCTGCTGGTCTCAACCCCTTGTCTCCTTCTTCTGCCCAACCTCTGCATGGGACGGGTCAAATGCTGCCCAGCAGCATGAGCAGTATCTCCCCCTTCCTTGGCACTCATTGTCCCTTTTGTTTCTTTCTCAGAAGCCCTTTCACAAGCAAGAGAATATTTTCAAGGGTTGTAAAGTTTCATCTCAATGTGCATTTTCATGGCTATTCACTTTTGAGGAGATGGGGAGGTCGTTTACTCTAGTTGACCAGATGAAAGAAGCCTATGCTGGTAGCTATGTGGTATTGTGCAGAGGGTCAGAGGGCTGGAGAGGAGAATCCTCTGAGGCTGCCACCTCACTTCTTGCAGAGGCTGACAAGGAAGTGTTGCTGTTTAGTTTGGCTTTGTTCTTTTTCATGTTGTGTCGGGGCCCACTCAAACCAGCACGGACATCTTCAGCGTGGTAGCATCATGGCTCTAGCTGCAGTGACCTGACAGCAGCAGGATCTGTAGGCAAGCATAACGCATTTGGAGAGATGAAGCAGACGAGCTTGGAGGTGGCTGTGCTCATGGCACTGGGCTGCTCATTTGAGGGGCAGAGGTCCAGGAGAGTGTGGGGTTGGGGACCCCCAGCCAGCCCATGCCTACATGGGCAGCTGGTGACACCCGATGGCATGGCTCTTCCTCCAAGTGGCTTCGTGCAATGAGCAGATGACTGAAAACCATCTCCTGGGCAATCCACTTCATTCATCAATTAAATTGTTTGCTGTGAACAGTTTGGCCCCATCCAGCTCCAGGATTTCAGCCTTGTAATTTTGCTGGCAGAAGATGCCGGCGCCATGTCCGTGAAATCTGCCTGCCAACTGCTTCCCCTGCTAAGCATTTTCTAGGCTAACGATCCCAAACATCTTGCCAGCATCCCCGGCTCCGTCCCTTTCAGGGCAAGCCGTTCATATAAACATGAGCACCTCTAAATGACTCCATCTGCTAAGTGACGTTAGGAAAGAAAAGATTATAGCAGGAATTATTGCCACGTCCTCAGGTTATAACCCTGCTATCAAATGGGCTGGAGGAACAAGGGGACCGTGAGGAGCCAGCAGAAGCTCAGAACCACCTGGGTGACCGTCAGCTTGATTTATTTTCTTGCTCATTAGATAAATTAGAAAACTGGCAATAGAAATCATCGTCCTCTCCCAGCTGCTTGGGAATCTGCCACGTGGCACAAGACATTGGGCACGGGGACATGCAGCTCCTTCCCAGCCCCTCATCCCCGTGCCAGTGCCACCCAGTCCTGGGGCAGGGATGTGGGATGGCTCCTGGGCTGCTGGTGCCACTTCTCTCCTCAGCAGTCCCTTAGTCCCAGTCTGTCTCAGTGACCCACCTGGCAGACCCCAGGCAATCACCTGTCTTGCTTATTCTGTGACAGCGCTGGCTTCTGAATAGCAAGGCTTACAGATGGAAGCAGTGATAACAATATTGCTTTTGAATAACAGCTTTGACCTCAGAACCATTCATTACCTTCACTTCACAAGTCAAACACGCTATAGCAAAATAACCCAGTCTGTGGATGTGCTGTCAGCCAGAACCTGCTGCCCTTCAGAGCTGCTGGGCAAGGTTCTGGTCTTTGGTTTTCGGGTGGGTTGTGAACCACCTGCCTGCAGCAGCCACTGCTCCTGCTTACAAACTGGACTCATTATGCATCAGAAGGTTGGAGCTTAAGAGCCCAACTCGCTTTAAACCCCTGGGCAAAACCCAGCAGCCAGGAGGCCGGACTGCAGTTACAGTGCCATCCGACCTGAAAGCTCAATGAAATCTTCAGACCATGTAACCACATGTTAAATTTGGATCATTTACACCATCCACACTGCAGAGAAAGTCTGCTTAGCTGCTTTGGATGCACTTCCATAACATGAAATGAAGACACAGTTGCACACAGTATTTACACACAAGGATGAGCTTCCAGCCAGGGTGAGCTATTGCAGACTGCAACACATTGCTCAGCAAACGCAGAGGAATTCCTGCTGCCAGCAGAAGCAGAACTGGGGGAGAAACGAGGCAGGAGCCTCGGGGAGGGGGGAGGTGGTGGTTGACATAGAGTTCCCCTGCCTCTCATAGGGCCCTTGTTACCCTGGGACAAAATCTGCATTGGGACTCAAGTCCTTTGAGCTGTGCAAATGCTGCATGGTGGTGTGGGACGGGGGAGACAGGGCTAATTCCTTCCTGAGATGCACAAGGAATCGGCTTATGGCCTGAAGCTCTGATTACTCTTAGCTGAGCCTGGTGAGGGTAACCTCACACACATCCTGAAGTTACCCAGCTTTTTGCAAAATCTGGGGGCTCGTCTGGAAGAGATCTGAAACCCCAAATGCACCAGGTGGGCAGCGTCACCTGGCCCAATGGAGTGCTGTGCCAGGCAGCACCAGTCACCCTTTGAGCCCTGCCTGGCAGCATCTGCCATGGAATCCTGGAGAGCCACTGCTTGTGGTGTCTGTGTGTCCTGCCACCAGCAAGGTCCAGCCCTTGGTTGCATCACTACTGTTCCCTCCATAGGATGCTTTTCCTAGTGGGATAAGATTTGGGCTGTTGTGGAGGGTTGGGATGCCATGAAGCAGCAACCCCAGCCCCTACCGGCACGTGGCACAAGCAGCAGGCTCAGCTGTGCAGAGCCCCGTGGGTGGGATGCAAAATGAGATCATGGCTGGCCCCACTGAGCCTCCAGACTGGGGCATGAAAATCTAGCAAGAAGATTAAAAGGTGTCCCCAGGCAGAAGAGGGTATTTATTTCTCTCTTTGTGGCTGTGAGGTGCGCGTGGTGTGGGTGGCACAGGGCTGGTGACATCCTCGGAGCATCTGCACATGCACAGAGCCATGTCCCCATGGGGACTGATCCTGGGGACAGGGCGGTGGCCAGAAAAAGCCTCTTTGGAGCTGCTGGGCTCCTCTGATTCCCCCTCCCTATGGCCTATGTTTTCCTCTTATTTTACTAGGGAGAAAGCAAAGAAAGCAAATCTTAGCAAAGAAAGATTGTCAGATGCTTCTCGCTGTTTCTAGGAAATGAAGGGCCTGGAAACATGCTCTGAAGTTACTTTTCCTCTGAAAAGACCCCAATATCTGACTGAGAAATGCGGCCCCTCCTTGGTCAGTCCCAAAATCTCAGTGCAGTTTGGGTGAAGAGTGACGTTTTCTGAACGCCATCAAAATCCACATGTATTCTCCGTGTGGAAACAAGAATATCCATGGGGATATGAACATTAAATCCTGGCTGGGGCAGGCCAGCAGCTTTCCCAAGACAGACACTTTAAAGCAATTAGGACCCAAACCAACCTCTTAATAAAACTCAGTGGTAATGACTGAATTATATTTAAGAGGCTTATTCGTACTAAGTGAATGCAAATAGTTTACATGGAAAACATTTCCCATTAAGCTCATTTCTACATAAAATGCTAACAGATTGAGATTATGACTCTAATGATTATTTTTATTGCTGGTTTGCATTTAAATGGCATAAGTTTCCCCCTACTGTTCTCTCTTTGGGTTAAATCAATAAAACCTATTAAGAAGGTTAGTCTTCCTCCAAGATTCCTCCCTCTCTTCTTTCTGGCTCATCTCCACGGGTGCCCTTTCCATCCACCCACCACCAGAGATTTCTCAGAGCTGCCTCCATGACGTTGCTGTTGTGGATTTGAAATTCCCCTTTAGGGATGGGGGCCTACAGAGCAAATCAAGGACTGCTGGGCCGGTCCTTTGCCCAAGCAGATGTGGTTGGGGCTGGATCTTCTTGGACCTCCTCTGTTCTCTCTCCTCCTGCTTTATCACAGCCCCTACCCTTGCACTGACTGGGCTCTCGGTGCTCCTGCCATGCTCCTACAAAGAGTGGCTCATCAAGCGGGTGTGGGGTTTCTGTTTGGAGCTGAGTTATCCTGGTATATACACAGCGAAAGATTTTAAGATGCTGACCTTTAAATTGGGCTTCTTCCTGCTTGTGTAAGGAGGAGGAGGGTTGGGTGCCCAAATCTTATTTATTTTAATGACATATCCCTCATGTGGAGGCTTTGAAGTGCTTGGCTTTAATGCAGCTCCCCTCCCTCTGCTGTAACTTGGTTGTACCATCCAGGGAAGATCTCTGCTCCCTCTTTAGGGCCAGGACCTATGGATCTGCAAGGCCACTTTCATCCCACAGCTTTTCTTGAGCAGCTCCATGCCCGAGGTAGAAGCTCCAAACCCTGGGCAGCCTGGTCTAGTATTGAATGGGGAGCTTGGTGGCCCTGCATGTGGCAGAGGGGTTGGAGATTCATGATCCTTGAGGTCCCTTCCAACCCTGGCCATTCTGTGATTCTGTGAACCCAGGTACCATTATGCATGGGCTTGTGAGCTCATGGCAGTGCTAGCACAGGGATCTCCACGCTCCTTCATCAGCATTGCTGACCTTTCTTTCCTCCATTACTCTCAGCAGCACTTTTTTCCCAGCTTCATTTGCATAGGTTTCATGTTATCCATGTTTTTGCTTTGTCCCTGTTATCCCATTACCCCGGATAATCAAAGCCGGCTGTAATAGAAGCAGCAGAAACAATTTGCTTACCGTCCTATTACAAGATATTCCCTCCACTAAGTCTGAGAATACCTGCAGTTCTCTAGCAATGCTAATTAACTGTGCGTACATATAGAAAGGGAAGCTAACGGCTCTGTGACCCTTTGGGATGGTGGGGATTAAAGGAAGATAAGATATTATTCTCCTTTTTCTCTGTGCTTCAGCATCCCTGCCCTCAACGGAAATCACTTTGCGCTTATAGACTAAAATGTAATACATGGTGGGGGGAGCTGCTGACTCTGCAGAGAGGAAGGAGCAGATTTCACTGCTTGTAAACCCACAATGAAATTAATGATCCCACTGATGTCTTACTCCTTGCCCTTGCTCTCGGAGCGAGGTGGGATGGGGCAGTCCTCACCATGGGATGCTTCCCAGTAGCACATCCCGTGGTGCAGGTCCAGTTCTACCAGGGCACTGGTTCCCAGTAGTTATTCCTTCTTTGCTTTCCATGGCATGATGTTGCAGACTCGGTACTGACACAGCCCATACATGAGGAGATATGGGGTGAAATCCCACCCTGTGGAAGCAGCATCCTCTACAAGTGGCTTTATTTCTGCTCGTTAACACAACAGTGTCTTCTCAGCTCCACACTTCCTTCCACTGATCTTTGTGCACAATGCAGGGGAGCCACACGCTGAGTGGCTTGCACTGGAGGTCACAGCACAGAGATAACAAAGTTGTTTTCTCACCCTTTGTCTTTCTAGTGATACGGCTCTGCCCAGCGTTGAGCTGGAGCCTGCAGGAGGATGCCCACATGCAATCAGCATGGGCTGCATGTTCCTGTGGAGAGAAGCAGGGTTGTGGTCACCCCCCCAGTTTAACCCCAAGACCTTGGCCAAATGGAAGCTATCCATCCTGTTGGCTTCTTCGGGGCAGGCAGGCTTAGGCCAGGCAAGGAGGTCAGATCCTGCTGGGGATGTGGCACCATGAGTAGAGCAAAGGGCTGTGTCTGTGCCTAGAAGAGCTGCAGGTGGGGGTGGAGGAGCAGCACGATGGCTGGTACAGGATTTTTCCTTCCAGGGGTACAGGGGTCCCACCTGCTCCTCTCTACAAGCATCAGCATTGCTCCCACCTATCTACTCACTGCTCTCCTGACCTCACTTCCCCATTCTGGTCACCTGAGTCTTCACCTCAGGAGAGCACTTTTACATGTGCCCTCTGTCCATCACACTGCTCAGAAATACCTGCTTTGCCCCAGGAACCTCTATTGCCCCCAGCACAGCCCTGTGCAAGACAAAACCCTCAGCAAAGCACTGCCAACCTGCCTGTCCCACAAGTTATCAGTCGCCAAAGCCCAGTGGGGCGGATATAGTTATTGCTAGGGAGCTTTTTATTTACCATGACCTTTCTGACATTACAGTAAATGCATTTCAGAGCACGAGAAGTGTAAAAATAAACTGCAAGGAAATCAAGACAGCTAATTAGCCAAAGGTTACTGCTGGGCTCAGTGACTGTCAGCCCTTTTGAAGTTCTCCTTTGCACAGGCAGATGTATTTGCAATGCTGCTGCTCCTTTGAATCAATGTCTTGGTTCCAAGAGTGTTTTCATAGCTTGATGTGACTAAGCACATGCGAGGCCTGTCACAGCAAGCCTGGGCAGGATGCTCACGTCCTTTAACCTCACACTTCTCTGGCACTGCAGAGCATCACAGAGCAGCACTGTCCTTGGCTTTGCTTGCAGCCCAGGCTGGACACGCATCTAACACTGCAGATACGCAGCAATGGGAAGTGAGGCAGTGCTGCCTCCTCCTGGGTCAGGGTCTCGTGTCCAGAGTGCAATCCAGGCTGTAGAGGGAGCTGACAGAAGGGCCCCGAGGTCTGAGCTGTGACCCCCATCCCAGCCCACCCACTGCCCCCCTTCAGGTCTCTCCTTCTGCCCCTTTCCACCTACCTGCTTCGCTCCCACCTCCTCAACATGCTGCTCATTTCCTTGCAGAGTTCACACAATGCACAGGGGCTCTGTGTGCATGCGTGTGTGCAATTCAATTAAACAAAACACAATGAAATCAGGGAGAGATGCAGTCAGACAGCAATTCCCCACCCTGCGTGCTGAGCCTGCTTGTGCCCTCATCACACGTGGGTTTGCATGCAGCAGCCCAAGGGATCCCTTGCTTGAGGTTCCCATCCCACATCCGCTCTCTCACTCCACTGTTTGGACCTGGGGCTGCTCATCGAGCTATTTCCAAATGCTCAGCCTTCTTCATCCTTCTTTTCCTCTTATTGCAGCTCACAGAGACCCCACAAAAAATCAGCAGTGGTGCTGCAGTGTGGGCCATTTGCTCAGCATTTTCCACCTACAGCCTTCCTGCCTTCTCCCTTTCCCCTATAATCTGCTCATACCACGAACACAATGCTTTGTAGCATCCCTTGCTACCAGCCAGGTTTCTCACCTCTCTCTGCATATGTGTGTGACAGTGGAGCTGCTCCTCCCTGGTGGTTCCCCTGCAATGCAAAATTCTCCCAGCCCCTTCCCCTCGGCTGCAGATCAGGGCTGTGGAAATGCACACCAAATGAGATTAGTGCAATCCCAGTGCTCTATCCCTGCTTTAGCAAGTGATGTGGTGAGGAGAGGAGCCCCCAGCCAGCACAAATCCTGCCCAGGGATGGGGGAGGTTGCACAATGCCATCTCAGCGCAGCCCTATGGGGCAGTGCTCACGGACTGCCCTTACCTGGGGCTCACTGGGAGAGGTGCAGCTCCCATCCTTGGGGGCCCAGTCACTGTGGGGGATGGGAGATGGTGACTGCATGACCAGCACAGATAAGGCAGATAGAAAGTCCTGCCTCAGTCGTGGCTCCTCCAGCCTGCACATGGGGGCCCAGGGTCCCCACAGCGCAGGAATACATTCCAGCTGACACTGGTTCTGCAGAATTTCCCCTGCATGCAGCCAATGCACCTGGAGCCGTTCCCAGATGTCTCTCCTTATTAATGCCCCTCTAGCAATTTTCTGAGGACCAGCCTCCATCTCCAGCATTTAAAACAGTCCCTTCCTCTTTGATTTATGGATATTAATCCATGCCAGCAGGCAAGAGGCATGACATGTCTACATAATATATTCATTATTAAATTGTTTTTGTTCCTTTCCTTTCTCCTCCACCTCCAAGTCTGCACCTTTCTTATCTCTCCATAACATTTGAACCCATGTGCTGTGCTCAGAACGACATCTTCCAGCACGGAGCAGCCAGCATCATTTGCTAGGTCAATGTTACAGGTCCTCACTTCCTGCCCAAAGGCAACATTCAGACTGTGGCACAGAGAAGACCCTCTCAGCTGCACCTCCTGTGCCATGGTGTGCCCAGGACGATGGCATCCCATCAGTCCCACATCACTTGTTCTGACTGTGATATGGGCAGGCCAATGGCACGAGCCTGCTGGCAGCCGTGCCTGAAGCAGCACCCAGGCAGGGATCCAGCGATGTGAGCCACTGCCGCATGCGTTCAGATCCTGGCTCTGGATCAGCAACGGCTAATGGTGTCCAGCCTTCTGATTCAAGGACCCAAACCCAGATAAAACAATGCGAGCTCCAGCACTCCTGTTCCCCACCTGCTTGGCTGCATGCCTGGCTCTGGGCACTGTTCTGGGCAGGCTGGGTTTGGGCCAGCACTGAGCTCCCAGTGAGCTCACTGCGCTGGGAAGAGAGGAAGCAAAGATTTCCAGATTGTGGTATGTGGCTCCTTCCATGGCTGCTCCTGCTCAGCACCCTCGACAGACCTCCTCTCTGGAACTTATGCTTTTCTCCTTCTCTTAACAGTAGCAGAAAGCTAAGCTTGCCTGGCTGCTATGCCCACTGCAACACAGCCCATCCCACCCCTGCTCCCCACCACCCAGCTAAGAACTGCTTTCTTCAGACTCCCCACCACGCTGCCCCAAAACAGCACTTAGAGGAGAAGAGTGCAGCTAAAACCTGATTGCAGTCACCGTGATGCAGCGGGACGTTAGCAACTTCAGGAGCTCAAGAGCAGCTTGAAAAATATGTCTGTTTCTGTTGGTGAGAATGAATCTGTCCCAGTGGCAATAAGGCTGCTTTTGTTCAGCGGGCTCTCAGCAGTGATTATTGTTGTTTTTCAATTTAAAAACCAGATGGCCTATTTATAAAGTATAGCATGTGGATTGAGATTGTTTTTTTTTTTTCTTTTCTTTGACCGAGCCCTAAAGGTGTGCTCTCAGTTTCACTATTGACAACCAAAGGAGCGGAGGTGACTGCAGATCCCCACTGGGGAAATAAGAAGCACAGCTAAGTGAGCAGGGCTGCAGCCACACTTTGCAGCCTTGGTGCAACATGCTGGGTGGGAAAGGTGTGGGGCTTTAGCTACAAAGAGCTTTTGTTGGTGGTGAAAGGGTCCTGTAGAGTCCCTGGATGGAGGTACCTTTGGAACCACGCTCTGCTCCTGTCCAAAGTAGAGGTTGATCAGAGCTGCCCTTGGCATCACCTAGAATGCTCTCTTCCCATTTCAGCACGGGTTATTCTGGCAGGGTTCGCTTTTCTGTGTCAGTGCAAGACATTTGGAGCATCCTGCCAAGAATGCTTTATCACAGGCACCAAGCAGCATGTTGTAACAGTATCAAAGGCTGTGATTTGGGTACTGTCAAACAGTGCTTGGGCACGTTGGAGCATCACTTTCCATGCAGCCCACCATCAGCACCAGAATCGAGCAGGAGGGAACACGAAGTCACACAGCAGACCAACAGTGCAGCTGCTCAGCATTCAGCTCAGTGCTGACCCTGGCAGTCGCTGGGGCAGACCTCCTCCTGCAGGTCACCCTGTGCCCAGCCCAGCAGCCCCACCATGCCACCACGACCATGCTGAGTTGGCCTTTTGTCCTCGTTCCCACCAGAGCTTATCTCATAGTGCTTCTGTCTCCATTTCCCCACGCAGCCCCTTTTACTCCCGCCATTTAGTTATTTTCTTAATTAAATATAGATTATGGCACTGGGAATAGGGATTATTACTTATTCATAAGCTACTTAGATTTTAAAGTGTGTGCAGAGCAGGGCTTATCACACGTCTGTGTCTGCATCATTACCATGTCAAGGGCCAGGGTGAGCTCAGCTTTACCCAAACCGTGCTCCTCTTCTCTCTCCAACCCAGAGCAGCTCTCTCATCTCTCCCTTGCTGTCCCTTTCCAGCTGAGACTCGCCAGCCTCTTCCCAAGGAAACCATTTTCTCTTCCAGCCCTTCCATGACGCCTCTGCTTTCCCCCTCCCTGGGTCTGTTTGCATCTCGCTCCCGGCGCGTTCCCCCTCCCTCCTGCTGTGTGTGCAGCTGAAGCTCGGCCGCTTCGCCTTCCGCCTGTGGAAGAACAGGGACTTATTAGGAGGCAGCTCTGCAGGAGGTGCTTTTCTGTACTGTTTTCTAGGAAATTCCTCCTGCTACCTGGGTAATGGTTGTCTGAGCAGCAGCCTGCCGTGTGGGGCAGGAGGAGGCTGCAGGGGAAGGTGGGAGAAGCAGAAGGAAGAACGCAGGGTGGGTGCTGGGTGTGGGTGCCTCCCCAAAACCTCGGGGTCCTGCAGTGTGCCCAAGCAGAAGGGCCAAGAGCTGCTCCCTCCTCCAAAGGACAATCATCTGCTTCCAGGTGCCTTCCTCTGCCTTAAAGAATGGAGCAATAACAAAAACCTCTCACCTGGCTGATGGACTCCAGTCTCTTAGTCCAGGTTTTGCTGTCCCCACGCAGTGCCATTAACATCTGGTGCTGCATGTCCCCACGCAAGCCCCAAGGGGGCAACGGGGCAGCTCATCACACACAGGCCTGAAAAGAAAGAGGAACCATTATACCCCAGGGCTCAACCCTCCATCACCCCCAATCTATCCAGGGCTGTCCCCAGGCCAGCAGCAGGGTCCCAGCATCTCGAAGCCCTGCTCTCACCCCAGGACCCAGTAGTGTTCCCACAGCGCTCGCAGTGCTTCACCCCATCTCCTCCTGCTGTTTCTGCACCCTGTGTGGCCATTTCTGTGCAAACCAGCCTAAAACCTCTATCTTCTGTTGTCCCCATGCCTCTCAAATGGTACTTCCTGGCTATTTTAAGGACTACTATGCAGTCCTGGCTTGATAGCCTTGAGGACTAAAGACCTTTTGTCAACAGAGCAGATGCAAGACAAGCTGCTGCAAGATTCCTCAGAGCAAAATGATTTTGATAAATTGAAGAAATGGCTTGAAATCAATACACTGAAATCCAATAAAGTCAAGTGCAAAGTGCTTCACTTAGGAAGGCGATATCAAAATCGCAGATGTAAGATGGGGAAGAACTGGTATGCCAGCAGGAGAGCAGCCAAGGTTCAGGCAGCAGAGTAGCCCTCAAACTGAGCAGCAGACAATAACCTGATGCTTTAGGAAAGGAAAGAAAAGGCACATCTTGCCTGGAGATGTATTAATAGTTTCAGACGGAAGACAGCGAGGTAATTTATTTGGCTCTATTCAGTGCTGGTAAGGCAACAGCAGGAGATACATATCTCCAGGTTTGGCCATCACAACTTTCAGAGAAATTCAGACAAATTGAGAGAGTTCAGAGTGTTTGGAAAAACATGCTCCAGGAAGATGGACTGGTTTGTGCTCCAGGACAGAGACTGAGAGCGAGACAGTGTGTAACATTCATCCAGAATGGAAAGGGCAGTTGTAAAGATGATGGTGATCAATTGGTGGCTGGTTGGACAAGCTGTAATAGGCTTGAAGTGCAGCCAAGTTGAGTGAGATGCTCAGGGAAAGCTTCCTAAGAATCATGATGGCCAACAGACAGCGCAGGGTGCAGGGACCCTCATCCCTGGAGGGCTCCAAGATCCAACTGGGGTCTAAGGGAAGAAGTCAGAGATGAAGATGGCTTTACTGTTGAGCAAATTGCCAGGCAGAGTTGTCCATATTCTTTATAGTAACATCTGAAAGGGCTCTGCACCACTCACCTCACTGATGTGGCTGTGGTGACCAGGAAGCTGCTCCATCCCTATGGTGCTTGCCCATCCCTGTGCCTGCCATAAGAGAAATCAGAGACAGAAACCACAATCCAGGTGTCTCCAAGGACGCCTTGCTGTTCAGACAGGCCACACATCCCCGTGGCCTCAGCCTCGTTGAGCTGATTTTTTGGCAGTTCTGTGGCTAGCTACAGCCTTGCGATCTCCTCCAGATCAATCCCTCTCAGCTGCATTTTTGATCATAATTAATGTTTGCTGTGTAATTACATTGATTTTTTTAATGTACTCTGAGAGATGAGGGAAATTCGAAGCCTGAACGAACTGGCTGAGCTGAAGGGAAGTGCCTGGAGGGTTCTGCATAAATACCCCGGGTTACACGGGGCTCTGCAGAGCTGCATCACACAGGGCTGGACATGGAGATGTTTGCTGTGCTGCTCTTCTATTCCTTGGCCAAACCGCTCCACCATCTGGGAACAGGACTTCATTCCTTCACCCAATGGGGAGATGGATTTGGGCCCCACCTGAGCTTCCCAGGTCTAAAGGAGGTGGGTGCCCACCAAGGATTGAGATGCAGAGCTGACACAGAAGCCAAAATGCACTGCCCCTCGGATGCCTGCAGGCACCACTCCCATAGAGGCATGGCAAAGGCATCGCCTGCGCATCCCTGAGCATCCCCCTAGTAAGAAGGCTTGTCGCTCATATTTTTTTAACAGCATATTGTTTTGCATCACCTGTTAATTATGTGCCCTCCGAGGATGGCTCCTGCTTGAGCAGTTCCGTGGGGGCCATGCAGCAGCAGCTCAGCACTGCACAGATGAGAACGCTGTGACAATAGCTGCTGAAAAGCTGCCTCGCCACGCACAGGTGTTATTAAGCAGCCACAGATGCTATGTGTTTTTTTTTTTTCCCCAATTAAAACCCCATACATTTCAAAAGAAAAAATAAGAAAAGAAAAAAAAAAAAAAAAACGAGGCAGGAGACAAAGCAGCAGAGAAAAAGGAGCCAAAGTGCCAGCAGCATCGTGCTGGGGGGAAACGCTCAGCTGGTCAAACAAAGTGGCGGCCGCGCATCTGCGGGGACGTGGTGTGACAGTGCTGGTGTGCTGGTGTTGGTCCTGGCAAAGGGCCCTCATCCCACTGCTCCCTGCTTTGTGGCTGCTGCAGAGGAGAGGTGGGAGCGGGCACAGAGCTGCGGCTGCTCCTCGCCCTTCGGTGGACGGTGCAGGGATTGGAAATTAGCTCTTAAATAGGCCGTGAGCCTGCTGGTGTAACAAGTTGTCTTCAGAGCCCGAGCGCTGTGGTGCGTGGAGGTGGCTCTCTTCTGTGTTGTGTGCGTGCCCTAAATGCAATTATTTGGCTCTTACCATGTCTGATATTATTATTGTTCTTGCTATCTTTGGTACTTTTATGGCCCCATCACCATAGTAACTGAGCATCTCAAAGCCTTCTAAGGAGGGAATAATATTATTTCCATTGTAGAGTTGGGGGAAGCGAGCAACAGTGATGTGCAGAGCTGGAGCCGTGGAAGGACTTGGGCAAGTGTGGGGATCATAGTCCAGCTCCTTCCAATGACCAGCAGCCATCCTACAGCACCCCCAGGACACGCTTCCATCCCATTTCTCCTCCTCCCCTCTTGAGTTAGCTGAATAGCAGCTTCCCAGATGGAGGCTCACCTTCATCAGCCAGTGGGCACCGTTTGGGGCAGGGTGGGCATGGGACATGCTGGCTTGCTCTACTGAAGCCCTTCCATTTTGCACAGCCCATCTGAATGCATCCGAAGCCAGCCCCTGCTCCAACTCATCTTTAAACGTTGAATGAAAAATGGAGTAGCGTCAGAGCAAGACATGTCAGATTTTCTTCAACCCTGACATATTCCAGGCTAATTTCCACCCTGGGGGTTTAGCTGTTTTTCCTGAGAGGCGGCTGATAGAGATGCAGAAAGAAGGGTTTGAACCAAGGTCTTCTACAGCACAAATGACTCAAGAGGTCGGGCAGTCCAGCACAGAGCACCCCCTCATTGTTCACCCACCCACCTGCCTTAGGGCTCCTTCTCCCAGATGTTCAGCTGCTCCCACCTTGCTCCACTCCTCCCATGCTGCCAGGTCTATGCCATTACCATCACGTTTCCCGACACGCTGGCTCCTCATTGCCTTCCCTGCCTCAGGTCATTCCAGAATAAAACAATCTTCAATTATTCCCCTCTTTTTTTTTCCCCTTTTCTGCAATATATCATTTTTTAATTAAAAAAAATGCCTCGTGGAAGTGTAACGGGCTGTTAAATATTTTGGCCCATAATTAACATCAAACTCCTGACTAAAAATCTTTATGGATTGAGTAAGCTCCATTAGCTGCTACATGAATAACGCTGTGCAATGCTTGGAGGCCCGCTGGCTTCCAATCACCCCGATTCCCCTGCAAACAACCTGGGGAGAAGGTCCTCGCTGGGGACTTCCTTTCCCTGTCCCCTACAGCCAACACTGGGGATGACAACTGCCCTGCACCCGTCTTTTAGCCCCTTAGGAAAGGAGACCAGCTCCCAAATCAATGCAAGCTGCTCCTGAGCCAGCTGTAGGGTGCTCAAAACACACGTTTGGGGCTGCAGACTCCAGCTGCAATAGATCATTACTGATGCATGTCCCAGACACATACTCACAGCCTGCTCCAGAGGACTAGGTGGTGGTGGTGGTTGTTTGAATCCCCTGATGATCCTCAGCATTAGCTAGAATAAATTAACTCTGCTTCATACCCCTGGATGGCCTTCCAGCACTGGCTCTCACAGCAGTGACACATCTGTTGGGGCTGCTGTCAGATTTTGAGTGTTCCCACCCATACTTGAAGCTAGAAATAATGACATTGGAACTGATGTACTGGTCTTTGATACTGCCGGATTATGGATGACCAGCTCTTGTTTGAGCAGATGAATGCAGCTGCAACCTTGCCAATTTATGGTATTATTCCTTCCGGGCATCTCCTGTGGCATATTCATTATGGCCACTGGACACAAACTGACTCAATTCCATATTCTTGGCTTTCTGAATGAAGCTGAACTTAGAAGATACTGGTGTTCTCATTAGGTTTTCGTTATGTACTTATCTATTAGCCCGTTGTTGTTATGCAGCTCTGGATGGCCTTCTGGGCTTTGCTTGTGTATGGAATGAGCTGTCAATTCAAATGGCCTTGGCTTTATTTCATAGCCTGGCCACCACTCAAATGCCTTGTAAGAGATATCAGAAGCAGCTCCTCTCCAAGGTATGAGATGGGCAACTTTCAGCTTCCTCCTGATTTTCCCTTCATCCTAACATGAATTTTTCCTTGAAGCAAAGGAAGTTTGGTCCACCTGGGATAGGACTCCACTGCAGTCTGCAGTATCAAATTCTTCTCTTCCCAGCCCTTGGATGAGGAGGGCCCACAATAGCATGAGGATGAAGGCCAGACTCTGCAGAGGAGACCTGATCTCCCAAGCACGAGCTGCTTAGGACACCACTGCCTCACAAATACAGACAGGGGAGGCATTACCATCATGCCCAGGAGCTAGGGGAACGACTAGGGCAATCAGCAACATGGGAAAAGGGAGGCAGAAACTGGCTTAGCACAAGGGGTTATGTTAGAATTAGTCCAAGTCCCAGTGTGCTCCCACTGTGGTGTGGGAAGGAGCTGGGATGCCTGACCCTAGGCAAGGCACGCCTGTCCCAGAGCATCCTGGGTGGAAGCAGGGGGATGTTTTAATAAGCTGGGTATTTTCTGCATCCCTCCTTGATGCTGGGCAGAAAGGCTGAAAACTAATTACTTACAGGGATTTCATCTTTTTTTTTTTTTCTTTCTTCTTTCTTCTGATTCTCATCTCAGATGTATTAAACTGCAAGCGAACAAAAGTTGGGATGCACAGCAGGGGGGAAACAAGCAGGGAGAATTATGCACTTTGTCAGTCCCCTTCCCAGCCCTGCAGGCCAGCAGCAAGCTTTGCTCCTTGCAGAAAACAAAGGCAGGGAGAGCCCAGCTCCTCTGTTTCCATCCCTGCCCAGGGGAGGTACGAATTCACACCGCTTCAATCAGGAGAGCTTGTGCTGAGTCAGCTCTGCTGGAGACTTGGCCTTTCCAAAAGACCGCAGCTCTCAGAAACCTTGGCCAACATTTTATGGGTAAATATAAAATGAATTAGGAGGCAGGTTTTAAAATAAAGGATTGCTCTTGGAATCCAGTGGTAATAATCATCTCTCCTGAGAACACAGCATCTCTCAATCTTTGGCCAGCGGTGCGCACTCAGCAGCACCGTGCTGCCAGCAGAAGCAGTGCTGCTCTTGGACAAGTGCATGCCTTCCCTTTTCTTTTTGCCTCTCAGGTAGCAAGAACCCTCTGAGCCAGTTGGAAAACATCTCCTCACTCAGAAAATGGTATGTCAGCTCCATCTAATTGTTTGGAAGGGGAGAGATTGAGTTCACTGATGTTTTCAGCAAGGACGTTATCAAACAGGTTTTGTTTGGGCTATGTCATTTTGGCTTGCCCACGGGGCACGGCTTGGGCACTCTGCTCTGTTTGTGTTACAATAGGATGGCTGAAATAGATGGGAGAAAAAAAAAATAATCCATTTTCAAGTATTTTTTCACTGCAAGAAAAATAACTGAAAATGTTGACTTGTGCTCTCAGTTTGCCACAAAATCATGTTTTGCCGTCTTGGAAGTTCTCACAAGACAAAGTGGCTGGGATTCATCCTCCCAGCAGCGATGGCTGCAGCATGACCTTGCTCTGGGAAATGCAGCAACACCAAACCTTGTGTCAAAGGCCTTGCAGGGATGTGGAAGCACATCGGCCTCTCCCCACGGCCATCCCAACCCAACAGAACCCCTCTGCCTCCAAGAGCACTGCCGTCATTCTCTGCCCAGCTTCAGCCTCGCCGGTTTTGTCCCGGTGTCTAACCTGATTTCTCTTGCTGTAATTTAAGCCGATTATTTCTTGTCCTGTCCACCATGGACACAAAGAACAGATTATTCTCTTCCCCTTGGCAGCAGCCTTTTAAGCACTTGAAGACTGTTATCACATCTCTTCTCCCATCATCTCTTTTAGGCTAAATAACCCAGTTCTTTCAATCTTCCTTTGTAGGTCATGTCTTGTAGACCTCTGATCATTCTCACTGTTCCCTGCATGCTGACTGCAGTGTTGCTGCCTCCCTTTTGACACGAGCTGCCGATACCGGAATTTGCTCTGGTGTAGACCTCACCAGCACTGAACAAGCAAGAGAGATGATGTGGTGAGCCTGGGTAGGTCATGCTGCTGCACACATCTCCCAGGGCACCGTGCCTCTTGATGCAACACTGATAGCTCATGTTCAGCTCATGACCTGCTATAATTCCTAGACCTTTTTCTGAGGAACTGTTCCCAGTTGCCTGCAGGCCCTTTGGGATTTTTAGGTGGATAGGAAAAGGCAGTGATGAAGTATTCTGGATGCGTTCTCCTGTGCTTCTCAGTCTCCTCCAGATCCTCATTTTGGTAGGTTCATTTATTCAGAGGACATCCTCGGTCTGGCTTTGATGAGGCTGTATACGATACCTGGATTGGAGCTCTTTGGTCCATGCTGAACAGGCTTTTCCAATGATCTTTGCATTGCTGGCTTCTGCTTCCTCTTAATTTCCAGTGTTTTATCTCTCTCATGCAAGTCATTTCACGGTCTAAGACATGCTTGTGTTAAATACTGGATAATCATAATTTTATGCAAAAAAAAAAAAAAGAAAAAAAGAAAAAAAAAAAAGAAAAGAATTCATAATTTTCTGCAGTCCACAGGGCACTGAAAAGCAGACCAGCATGGCCTGGCCCCAACCCCAGCAGCTCTGTTTGAGCTTTTCCATGACCAGATTATTTTTTCCTTGGAAACTGAAAATT